GGCGAGCTTTAGCGAGCCCTGCTAAACGGTAGAGCCCAGGAGCCTTTTTTGGATCCTAAACCCATATTTCCTTGCAGTTTTTGCCAAAAAATCAACTTGTCAATTTTTTTCCAACTTGGCATTTTTCCCATCAAACTGGGACCGCACGGGCCCTGGGCACCAAACTGGGACCAGTAGGGGATCACCCTGGGCACTTCCCCCACTAAAGAAAGCACCCTGGGCACTTTTCCACCAAAATGAAAAAGGTCTTTTTCTCTGCACTAAAGCAAAAACAAAAGAATTCCCCTGGAGAAGTCTCTATCAAATAGTCTAAGGATTTCATTGGACTTGACGAGAGCTTGTTAAACTGCTCCTGGTCAACGCGTCCTGAAAATGGCTTTTGGCACCACTAGTTTGGAAGATTTGTATTTTTAAGGCAGGCGAGCTTTAGCGAGCCCTGGTCGAGCCCAGGAGTCTTTTTCAGGGCCCTGAGCACTTTTCCCATTAAACTGGACCGCACGGGTCACCCTTGGGCACCAACTGGGACCTTTCCCTAACTTACATTTCCTTGCACTTTTTGCCAAAAAATCAACTTATCAATTTTTTTCCAACTTGCAAGTACTGCCGGCGGCTTCTCGCCGGCAGAGACTAGGACCTGCACGGTGTATTGAAACTCTGAAAGGAGCGTAGGCGCCTGCAAACCTCTGGGTTGTTTGAAATTTGCTAACGCAATGGCACTGTCATGCAAAGTTGGGCACGCCTGAAAATTTCTGCCCCGTCTTCTCAGCTCTTGTAAAATGCAGTCCACAGTGTGCTTGCACAAGAGCGAGGGATACTCTGCCTCCTGTGAGGTCATAAACTGCACCTTTCCCTGAGGTCCCCGCAGTTTCCAAGGCAGGTGTGCGTGAGAGCGGTCACATCTGACACACAAAGCGGACAAATCAAAGTTCGCCAGAAAAGCTGTCTTCTTTGGTCTGCCATGCATGCAACTGTCAAAGCCAAACAGTGAAAATCCAGCCTGCTTGAGACATGCAAATTCGGGAAGCAACCACATCAAAGACGACTCAGGGTTTTCAATTATGGCCAGGGCCCCTGCGTGATGCGCCGCTAAAGCTGCCATACTGCAAAAAGAGTACAGGCCGTTCGCGGCAGATACACGGACGGCGTTGAGTCCTCGAATCCATGGCAAGCCATACGGATGCTTAGGCGATCGCAAAGGTTTCGGAGGCCATGGCACGCCCGGGACCCTAATGTTCCGAGCGGCGCTTGCTGTGCCACACGGAGGAGCAGCAAAAAGCACGTCAATCCGCCCTTGCGAAATTTCCTGCAGCACAGATTTCTGGTCCTCCGGGTCCAATAAATCCATTTTGGACACCGTTGCTTTGACTCGTGCTTTGTCCACAAAATGATCCACTCCCAAAGCATGCATGCCCGCTGCTTTGGCTCGCGCCGTCATGCCAGCTGTTCCGCAAAAAATCTCAAGGAAATGAGGCCGCCAACCACTCTTAGCATCAGTGGCTTTCCATGTGCCGGCTGGCGGTTCGCAGGGAAACCGTGTCTGCTCACCCATTGGCTCTGGCAGCGGATCCGCTACGGGGGAAAAATTCGCATCGGTAGAAACATGGGCCCTTCGGCCCTTGGACGCCGGTTTTTCCGGCTGGTGAAAAGAGGGGCTGTCCCCTGCTGTCTCGGGCAGGCTGCCTTCAGCAATCTGCTCCGTCTCACCGGCACCCCAGGCAACTGCACGCTCTCGTGCCGAACCCGTGGCGCCCCTTGGCATCCCCTTAGGGGAAGTCAAGGCCGAGCCAGCTGTCTGGCTTTGTCAGCTGTGCTGCAAGAAACCGTGCGCCTTGCTGAAGCATCCGGGGTAGCAGCACACATGCTTTCTCGGACAGTTCTCGTCCACACACTGCCCAAGGTTGAACGCGAAACAAATGGAATTTCCGCTTTCGTCCGTGGGGGTACCCCCGCGAAGCTTCTCTGGCATAGGGAAACGGCTGCCCTTGCTGCCGGACTTGCCCTTGGACGCACCTCTGCGTTTCTGTGGCTTGACCACCTGCTTCGGTGGCGCCGCTACTGGCTTCTGCTGAGCAGGCGGCTTGCCTTTGGAAAGTGTCGAGCTCGCCTTCTGAGCCGGTCTCTGCATGAGCACCCATTGAAAAGATGGCAATCGCAGCACTTCGTCAACGAACTGATCCAGCGGCAGTTCCCCTAGCGGCCCCGGCGCGAGGCCCGCTCGGGTCTTATCCGCCAACTTCTCATGAAACTCTCGGTCTGCAAGGCAAAGCTGGGTCATTGTCACCTTCGAGAACCCATCTTGGGCCGGCCTCTGCAACTCCTCAAACAAACGGGCAACCAGTTTTTCGTGAGACACGAAGGACATGGCGGCTGCCGCCTCATAGGCTATTCCGCGCCTTCGCAGAGCATTCTGGAGATCCAACTCCGTCGCCAGCTCTGCTTTCAAAGCTGGCTCCTGTGAAACCTCATGGATGACACCGTTCTTGTCCGGCTTCCACGACTTGAACTGGTTTGCCTCCGTGAGCCCTTGGATCTCCTAAACCCGGGTGGTGCACTTGGACCATTCGAAATACCTCCACCGGCCATCCTCAACGCTCTGATTCACTGCATTCAGGAGCGCGTGTGACGGCTCAAGCTGCCTCTCAATCAGGAGCGGCTTCACCTTATCCCGAATGGCATCCAACCTATGAGCTATCTCAAGGGCCGGCAGCTTCTTTGGAGCATCACCCTCGTTGGACTCGACCCTCCGCTTGAGGTCTGCAGCATTCATAGTGAAACTCTCAAAAGCGAGCCTTCGGAGCTTCGGTCCGTCTGCGTGGTCCGGGTCTCCCAGGACTGGCTCAATCACCCTTGTGACAAACAGCGTCTCTGCGGCCTCCGAACTTCCCGGCAAGCTCGGGACACAGAACGCAAAAGTGGCATAGGTGTTCCAACCCTTTTCTGCCAGCTTGGTGACTGCCTCTGCTGTCAAGCCCACTGCCCGGCACCTCGCCGCGAAAACCGGGGCGCTGTCGACCAGGGACATGGCAGTTGAAAGCCTAGTGAAAACTTATTCAGCTGTATGACAAAACTGCGGATCGTCAAACAAGCTCTCAAAGTACAAGTGCCCCCTGCCAGCCGACTGGTCTGTGCACTGACATGCCTGCTCACGCAAACGACCGCATCACTTGCACTGCCAAAAAGGAACGCGCACTGCCAAAAAGGAACGCCCGGAGACACCCCAAAAGGGCCCAAAAGAGAACCCCAACCCAAAAGGGGGAACCCTTGGGGGACCGACTCCCTTTTAGCGCAACGATGACACGGCCTCGGATGCAGTCCTCGCTTCAAAAACCGGGAGGACTCACAACTCGCGTTCTTTGACTCTTTGTCACTGCCGCTGTCGACAGGGAAAACACTTGGCACATTTCCTCATAATCTGCTCCGGAAACAAATCAACCTTCCGAAAACCTGCCGAAGCAATAAGCCCACATTTCGAGACTTCCATCTCTCCATCCTCGTCGCCATACGTGCCTGGCCGAGGAATATGGGCCACCTGAGACTTGACATTCAACAAGTAGAAGGCCATGTCTTCCTGTTCCAGCTGGGCAGGCGCTGCTAAAACCGCCATAGCTTGGTCCGCCCTCACGACCTCATCATCTACTTCCTCACCTTCTGACGAAGAAGAGCTGGTTGACTTACCAGACGAATCCCCTGACGAATCGCCTTCACCGGTTGGCTCACCGTCCACCGGAAGTGAGGGGGCGGCTGCCAACACCTTGACCGCATCCTCCAAGTTGTGGTACCCATTCCAGCGGCCTGAGCGGCTGGCGTCCGGCGAGAACAATCCACCCCGAATAGCCAGGTAGAGGCCGCTCAAGGCGTGCAGCACGGGGCTCTGGGCATCCCTGGAATACTCAGTCATGGATCGGTCACCCGGAGCAACATGGTAACCCCCAAGCCGGCGAATGTGCCTGTCCACGTTTGCCTTCGCCATCCAGCTGAGGGCCGTGGCCTTGCAGGAGTGAGTGCCGACGTCGCCCTGGGCATCCTGGAGAACCTCTTTCATCCACACTATGGCTTCGGCTGTTCCCAACGGAATTGAATCCCATTTACCGCTTGCAAGAGGGGCAGGCATCATGGGGCACCCCTTCTTAGCCCTGAGGCCATGCTTAGCTCTATTCTGGAGCCATGTCTGCGCCCAGGGGAGCCCCGAGACACCCGGCAAAGAGCAAGCTGCTGGCAATAACCGACGTATCACAGATTTCTGCCTGTTCGCCGTCTTGTGGTAATACAAGCCAGCTTCGAGCGACCCAGCCCCATCAGGGCCCCATCTCAGCCTGCCGTGCACCAGAAAACACAAGTATCCGCAGAATACTCCCGTCGCAGACTCGTCAGTGGACGCCCTCCTCTCTAGATCCGCAACTTGAGCCACGGTCAGAGGCCGTTTCTTCCGAACCACCCGGTGCCCCTGGATTGGAATGGTAGCACCTTTGATCCGGCTAGACGCGAGCACATTGTCCACATCCGCCTGCAGTGTCCCCTTGCAGAAAGCTAGAGCTTGCACAAAGCGCTCCGCCTTTGTAGGTGGGGACCTGGTGTCCCGCAAAAAGCACAGATACTCGTACACAACCACTTCCTTGACTGGAAAAAGTGTAAAAGTCCGTCCATGCTCCGCCCTGCCCCACCGCATGTAAGCAAGCAAAGCTGAAGCTCTTGCCCGCAAGGTGGCCGTTGCCTTGGCCCTGAAAATATCCGCTAAGACGCTCAGCTGACCATCCTGATCTTCCTGTTGGATCAACGTGCCCGCAACTGATGCACCGGGGTTGTCAAGCACAAGGAGCACCCATGCATCGAGCGACCTTTTTCGATCTTCATCCAAGACAACCTCCCACTGCTTGGACTCCGTTTGGCGCATCCATGACGAAGTCTTTCTGACTTTGGACTCATCCCGGAGTACCAGCTCCGTTCCTTTATCCTGCTCACCAGGCCTCTTGCGTGGCATAGGAACAAAAGGGGCAGTTCGCATCGTTTGCTCACCAATCCCAAAAACCGAGGCCAACCGCTCGTCACACCAAGGAAACTGAAAGCCAGGGCCCAGGCGTGATGTAGATGTATACCCCATCGCCTGCAGCAACAGCACCCATCGTTCCCTGAGCTGAAAACCGGACAGTTGTGAGCACCATTCATGCCAGAAGACCCACTGGTCGGTGAAGCGCTCTCCCTTGAACCATGTTTAACAGAAGAACATTCCGGGCCAAGACTCCCAGCCTCGGTCGTCCGCCTGGTATCGCTTCCTGAACCGCGAGAACTCAATGGAGGGCCTACCACCGGTGCAGCGCTAGGGTCTGTGATGACTGAGAATTCTCCACTGCCGGCTCCATCAGACTCAAAAACTTCCCCCACTTCTTCAACCATGAGCTGATGCTATGGATGCAAAGCAACCACCTTGGAAAGGCGAGTCAGAAAGACTCGACTATACCGCAATTGCAAAAGCATACCCAGACCATGAAATATAGATTGAAACTGACGGGCGCGAAAAATATGGCGCACCAAGCGCGCCCAAGCCAGATGCAACCAATCTCGGCGACGCCTGGCTGTAATAGCAAAGCGTCGTGAACAGGCCTGTCCCATAGCGAGCTCAATGAAACAGGGGCCACCCACCCACCCTAGCCGAAAAATTGCGCGGCCACCAAGATGCACTCATTAGTGCAACGACTTCTCTCAAGTCAAGCTCATTCGAAAAAACAAGCTCGTGTTACACGTGCAAATGTTGGCCCGCTGTTTGCAATCAAACAATGGTTCGCGTTTTCATTGCAAGGAAAACAACCATGACAAGTGGCATACACCCGCTTGCACATGGTAGACAGCTCATGCAATCCTCGCCTGTTTTGTTACTCACAGCAAAACATAAAACACCAACCGAAAATCCAAAAGTTGCAATCCCGCTCAAAATGAAGCGGTTCACAAACCGGGGACGAGCCTGTTTCCCAAAACAGGTTACGCCCCTAGGACGCCAGCGTGTCAAACGAACGTAGTGCTAGTAGGCGGGGCCTCCCCCCCCTGGATCACAGAGGCTTGGGAAATAAAGCGCTATCACTAAAGTGAGGGCTAACCAAGCCATCAGAGGTTATTAATAACTGCTTAAGCCAGTTCTCCCCCATCTATGCCGAACATAGTTTTTTCGGGCATAGGAGGCGTCGCGAAAGCACTGGCACTGGACTCGAAGGCAAAGCCCTTGATGTAGCGCACAGCCACCTCATTTCGCACGCCGTGACCAATGGAGTATTGACACCAAGGCACCCGATTGTAAAAAAAGATGGTAAACATGTTGAGGCCTGGGTGAATGGCATGATAATTGGCACCAGGCAGCGGGGGGATCATTGGCGCTGCGGAGCGCAGACATGCTGGCAAGTGTCTGGAACCAAAGGAAGTCAAGGGTCTGGGCAACTGGGAGCTGCGCCAAACGGTTTTGAACGTACTTTGAAGCGGTATGCCCGACGGCCGTAACCTTGTACGCCCTGAGGTTCATGAGACCTCGCAGGGAGCGGTGAACAAAGGCCTTAGCCGAGTCATTTGGGTCGGCCTTTATTTCGAGTAACAGCGTACTGTCACCCAGCAGACTCAACCAACCACACGGCCTCCGCAATCATGCAAGGAATATGTTCGATCGCGGTGACTCGCATCAACTCCGTGGGATCCTGACAAGCGAGCGCCAAGGCGATGTGCTGAAGGTAATCAGTAGACCGCATATCAAAGCCGGACCACTACACATAGAGCTTGTCACTCTTAGAGCAGGTAGAAAGGAGTCCAATAAAGAAAGATAGAAAGCAGAAAGAACTGAAGAAAGAATTGAAGAAGAAGAAGAAGGAGTCCAAGATATGCACAAGGCAACTATAATTGTGTCCACTAGACCCAAAGGCCTGTATGTCATCAAGGATGCCGATTAGACCGAAGCCTGCTGACAGCAACGCAGTGCGGACGCCCGACTGGGCGACGTGGTGACAAGGACAGGCGGAGTCGGAGACCACCTGCGCAACACGGACACTGCCCAGTGGGAACTGACCACCTTCACTGGTGAGCCCGAGAAGGGCAGGCGGGGGCATACACACCCCCGATGCGTACGTGGAGTCTGGCCTTGGAGTCTGTGGGTTTAGGATCCAAAAAAGGCTCCTGGACCGCTAAAGCTCGCCCTACCTTAAAAATACAAATCTTCCAAACTAGTGGTGCCAAAAGCCATTTTCAGGACGCGTTGACCAGGAGCAGTCTTACAAGCTCTCGTCAAGTCCATTGTGTTGTATCTTGACCACGTATTTAAATGGAGCCGACCGAACAAGAGGTGCAAGAGGCGGAGGCGCAGGTGCCACACGCTGCGCCGGACGCTGCGCAGGTTGGCGGGACCGAAACGGCGGGCAGGCCCCCTGGGAGCAAGAACAAACCGAAGTAGGACGTGCCTACTAAGCCGGCTGCTCCAAAGCGCAAGCCAAAGCCTCCGGTTAAGACGACACCAGGAGCACCAGCGGAGGCCCCGGCACCGGCAGAGGCACCGAGTCACCCCAGCTCACAAGAGAGTAGCAGCGCGCCCTGCGCATGCTGCAGAGGCAGTCGGCTTACCGGCTAACCACAGGTGCAGTGTACTGGTGCAAAAGCATGATGTCGATTGAACCCCGCAACGAGCCGCGGATGCTCCGGTGGTTGCGCATTTATTTTTTTTGTCACACGCGCGCCTTGGGGCATTAAGCCATCGGTCACGAGAACGACTATATAATCATCGAAAGTGAGACGGGTGAGACCGAGAGGGACAAAGTGCTGGTGAAATGAGCCAAACAAAGGAAAGGACCGAAAACACAACGCGGCAGACCACGAAGCAACACAACACGGAACCAAACGAAAAACCATTCCCCAGCCGAGCAGAACGGAAAGAGACGAGCCAACGCGGCAATAAAAAGGGAGAGCGTGGAACATAGTTCCAGAAGACACTGACTACACCGAGGAGCTAGGCTTGTGAAGCATGAGCACATTTAAAAATGGGAACACGCGCGCTCCAGACCGCAGGGGGCACATTTGCGCATCGTTAACCCCCACACGTGGCCACACGGCTGGAGCAACGAGCGCAATGTTCCAAAAATGTGGCAAAGCAACACACGGAAGAGGAAGGCAAAAAGGGCCAAGCAAGGGCCAGCAAAAGGCGAGCGTGCAGTAAATTAAATTGTGCACAGGCATCACCCGGAGCACAGAGGCAGAAAGAGGCCGTGCAATGAATTACCCTCACACTGACATCGAGCGGAGTTGCTATGGCCAGGCAGGTGTGACGGGCGTCACAGGCCTGGCCATCAAGCATTGCACACAAGACAAGGGGTGAGCGTGCAATGCCCCATCAAGTTTGCACTATATGCTACGCAATTTCCGCAGGGACAGCGATGATCCCAACCGATAGTGAGGATGGGAGCCAAGCGCTGAAGCATTTTTACAAGTGCGTAGGTACACCGTGGCAAAATGCACAAGCGGGAAGCAGAAGCCCAAGGAGATCTGGCCGTGCCAAATACACCAGAGGCATTCTGTCCCATTGCGTAGGCGTCACGTTCGCACCACTGACAGGGGAATCCCTGCCACAGTGTACGTGAGCATGGCAAACCCGACAAGGCACCATGTCTGTCGCAAGAGCGTACCTAGCGGAGTAGCGACCATTCAAGTGCAGGTATGATGCCTATAGGCATGGAGATTAGTCACAGATTAGAGGGCGGCTCAAACTTAGGTGGGTGCATATTCATCGAGAAGCAAAAGCACCCGCCATAGGGCCACCTGAGGCACACATCTTTCCAGGAATGTTTTAAGCTAGGACTACGACCGTCCAAAGGGGGTGTCACGCCTAGGAGCATAAAACAGGCGAGCGGGTAAGAGGCCAGAAGGCCTTGCCAAGCAAAGCACATCAAGGACCTCAGGGCTCATTGAAGGGAGAGAGGAGCCTCCAATCTGCAACCTTACATCGGCATGTTGGTCTATGGGTTGATGCACAAACACTCTGTGTTGCAGAGCGCGAGCAGTATTCCAGCGGGATAACTAAGTAGGGTGTTAGGGTTTGGGGTGCGCTTCAATGCATGTCTTACCAGATTATGGCACTGCAGGGTGGGCCAAGTGTAGTAGCACAGAACCAGTCACCAAGCAACAATGCGAGTGTGCAGTGCCGCTGGCACCAAGAGCGGCTGGGAGAACCACGAGATTGGGCAGTGCCCAATACACTTGGAAGCTCCCACCTCAGGCCACAAAGGAAATGCACCAAAGTGACGACAATATTCGTCATGGAAGGTGTCGCCTGGCAACCAAACAACGAGCGGCCAAGAGGCCAGGCGACAACGGGGGGAGGGCCCAATAACCGCTACGCTCATGAATGAAAAGGGGGCACCTCCCTCTACATCCTGCTGCGAGATAGGTTGTCGGAAGAAACGCGTGCACACTCTGTCATGCAGAGCGAGCAATAGGCAGCGGGATTACTGAGTAGGGTATTAGGATTTAGGGTGCACACTTCTATGCATGTCTCACCGGATTGTGGCACCGCAGGGTGGGCCAAGTGTGGAAGTACCGAACAATTCACCAGGCAATAATGCGAGTGTGCAGTGCCGCTGGCACGAAGAACGACAGGGAGAACCACGAGATTGGGCAATGCCCAATACACTTGGAAGCTCCCGCCTCATGCAGCACAAGGAAATGTACCGAATTGGTGATGCAGGAGAGAATGGCATGGGGTGATAGTTTTAAGGATGCACCGGGTCGCCATGACCCACCATGGCACGCACGAGCTGCCTAGGCAGATCGGTGGGCGATTAGCGGGGAGATGGCGACCAAATCCGTGCGTCCCATTAATGGAGGCGCAACGTGCTGCGGACTGTGTTGGTGAGCGCATTGAAAGCACTAAGCGATGGCGCGTCCAAGAAATCGTCCACACTCCTGGAAGTTTTAGTTCCCTTGCTGCGGAGCTCCTGCAGTGTCATGCCCGAGGCCTGAACTTGAAAGGCATCAACCGACGGAAGTATTATCTCCGCGGTATCGGCATCAAGCACGGGCGGGGTTGCAAGAACGGCAGACCTCCAACGGTGGGAAGAGACATGTGCCCTACGCGCAA